CGATTGCTGCTTCTTGACGTCGAGAAGATGCGAAGCGTGTCAAGCAGCTTGTGCAGCTTGCACAGGACTGGGGGTACAGTTGGCACCCACACCCTGGCATGACTTCTCCGCTGGGTTCTGGGGTACAAAGGGGTGTTAAACTGACGTGAGCCTGGGTGCGATGCTTGTTTCAATTAAGGCGGTACAATCTTGGAACACAACTGTCCAATCAGGAGATACTGTGCAAGCAAGCCGGGGTTCCACGAGATCCACATGAGCTCCTCTTGCCGGTGGGCTGCAGTGACTTCCAAAAACACGCCGCGACCCAGACTAGGGTTTGCTCCAGCACGGGGTCCACCCGAGGAGAGGCGTTCGGAAAAGTGTTCGCACTTGGAGCCCCAGGGTCGGGAAGCTAGGAAATTTCAATATCTTGTGGAAGACCTTTGGGAAAAGCTTTTGGAACACCTTTTCGGACCTGTTTGGGGAGACTGGGCAAGCCGGGCTGGGACGAGGATTTCCAGGTTTTGCCTGTAAAAACCAAGGAAAAGGTGTTCCAAAAGGTGTTCCAAAAGGTGTTCCGAAAGGTGTTCCGAAGGTGTTCCCAAAAGGTGTTCCGCAGCGGCCCGCCATCGGAAAACGTGTTGGGGAAGGTGTTCCGAAACCCAGCTCCCGGTGCCCAGGACCGCGCTTTGGCGACGCAGACGACCTGGCAGCGGCAGATGGTGGACTAGCGACCTGCTGGTCAGCAAGGACGTGCGCCCATGGACGTCGCTTCGAGGATAGGAGTGGCATGGTCTCGCCCGACCGAGAGAGTGAAGCCATTCTGCACGCTGTGGCCTGCGAAAAGCTCTCCACCAGGGATGTCTCAGCCTCTGTGGCTGAGAAGAAGGAGTTGTTGAAGCATCAATACGTGCACGTGTCCCAAAACCCGCAGAAGCTTCACAAATTCGGGGTTGTCTCCTTGCCTGACTACGGGAACGAAGCTTTACTCCTTCCATCGGCAGGGCGTGCTCCTCCCAATCGAGCTAATGCTTCTGCAAGGATGTCGCCGTGGATTGCGCATCCCAAAGGATGTGCCCCAAGGCTCTCTGAGGCAGCTGGCAGGTGAAGAACTTTTCCTGCCCTGCGCGGCCACCGTCTTATGGTCCCTGCACGTTGTCGTTTGCCTGGTCTTTGGAAGCAATAGCATCCATGGTGCTAGCGTTCGCCAGTGAACTGTGCATCCAGTTTCGACATTTTATCTTCATGGAGCTCGGATGCTGAACACTTTATGAAGGCCTCTACAAACTCCTATTTGCCAAATGCCTGATCCAGACTGCTTGCCCCACGCTTTCTCAGAACAGCTTCAGAACAGCTTTCTGAACACTATAAAATCATTTCGGGATATCTCTCGTTAAGCTATCTGTAACTTGTAACACTACGATCACCACGACCACGACAATTGGCGAAATCTTTCGTATGACCAGCATGACGACGGGATCGTGATGGCCTGCAGGCTGAAATGGCCAGGGACTCGGGCGACGTAGAGTCGACCCTGGACCTGCAAAGGCTGGATGTCTTTCGTCTCTCACTCTGATAGTCTCAGAGGGGTTCTTTCGTTCCGTTCATGGTTTAGGATCACTATAATCATTGTAAGGTTATGCAGAAGGAATCTTGGTTATTTTGGAGTTCGAGGTCGACGGTCTGGCGTGGTACATCTTGCACATGAAACGCACACCTGGCTTCTTACGATCCGGCTTGCGCTTCTGCATCTGGAGTTACAGGGGGTATCGGACGGGGGTTGACGTGACTTATTGTCAAGACTGAGCCAACTGCTATAGAAGCCAGCAGGAAATGACTGGGTTCTTGTTATGGGATTTAATTTAAGTTACCATAATAGGGATCTATAGTAAATAATATGGTTTCCTTATTATGGCAACTTAAATTAAATCCCTTAACAAGAACCCAGATGACTGCAAGACAGACACCTCTCGGACAGGGCTGCGCAAAGCCTGACAGCCCTGGTCGAACATAGCATGGTGCTGCGCAATCATGAGGTGGCTATTCCTGCGGCAGGTCTTTGGGTGCTTCAAGAGCGGGCGAATCGACGTGGCATTTCGAAAACTACCGGCTGTGGTAACCAATCCACTCATAGCCATGGCAGGGGTGGAGCTTTTTCGCTCTGCACCCTAGGCTACAAAATCAGAACCTTCCAACTTAGCACCACGGACTTTTTCAGCCACTGCATGACAATACTTTCGCATAACGACCGTCGTCTGATAGACAACAGGATGTTCGTCTATCATTGCTCGTGTTGCAAAATACCGCTTTTGCAGACATTTTGTCGCAACGGGAAGCAGAGGCCAAGTACCAGTAGCAAGCTGACATGACCTGAGCCGCAACCCTCACATCCCTGAAACATAAGCAAGCATACGCAAGGACGACAACGGCAATCCAGACCAGCTTCTGCATTTTGCTCGACGAGGGGATGTGGGACTGTGTTTAGGGAAGTCATGATAAGAATGATGTTCATGATGATGATGATGATGATGATGGTGATGGTGATGGTGATGGTGAAGATGACGATGGCGATTGGTGATGATGATGATGACGACGACGAAGAGATGATATAAGGCACGGAGATAATGATGAAGAGGATGATGAGTATGATCAGGCCGGACAGTGTCGCAGGGAGAATCGTTGTAGCTACTACTGTTTAAGAGGAAGGGCTACGGTAGCAGTTGTAGGGGGAGGTCTGGAGGCCTGAGTTAGGCAGGAATAACGTTGATCATGAAAACTACGAGATGTGCTGATTACCGAGCCTGACTGTGTTCGTCAAGAACTCAATAATGTTCTCGACCTCGGATCGAGTTGCAGGGCTGCGAAGCTCAACAGCCCAAGCCAAGGCAAATCCAACGAAGGACCGCCGGGAGCCCAGAGTGCGTAATTAGTAGTTAGTAATTACTTCGGAAAGTCCCCGGGCCAGCATTGTTTACCACTTTCGTTCAAAAGGGGCCCATGACTGCAAGGGCGCATGGCAGGGGGTCACCTGAAAATAGCACGCTGATGCGAACCAAGGCTCACTTCGCTTGTTCTGAAACTGCTCGAACGTCCTGGGTTGCTTCGAAAAGTCCGCCACTCAGCTCACAGTGCCAAACTGTCAGAAGATGTCTTTGCTTCCAAGATTTTAGAAGTTGTGTATCGAAGCCAATGCTGAAACCCGTCCTGTCCTGCAGCTCACAAAGTCTTACCCCGGACCGTGGAGTGTGGCACAAACTAGCTATGGCCAGTGATTACAAAAAGGGCCCTGATTGACAGAGGAGCAGGGTTTCATGCAAACTTTGAAAGCACGCCGAGTCACCCATCCCGCTTGTAGAGGCGGATGGTCGGAAATGCCTGGATTCGTTCCTGCAGAGAGAACTCTCACATGAATGCTGTTCTAGTTCCCTTGCCCTCAAAGGTGTAAGCCACCGTAAAGCCTAGGCCCACCCTTCCATGCTGCTTCCCAGTGTTGATCTCTAAACAAGCGTCAACTCAAAGCATTGTCCTTCAGAAAGTGGAAGGCCCTTTTTTCCCAAAACGCGAGAGCTCCGGCTCGTGGCTCTAACAGCAATGAATGACAACCTTTTAAACATCACACAGAGACCAGAATTCTTGAAGCCCCTGGGGCCTCCTGACACTTCCCCTGGAAGTCCACGCAGTTCATCTTCAGGAACTTGACGGTCGTCTGTCGGACCCGGTTCCCTAAACCCTAAACCCGGTTCGACACATAACATGTCAGAAGGGACGGCTCAAGAGGTCGAAGCTCTACCAAGCACCTCACAGCCTGGCTTAATGTAGAGGCCTTAATAATTAGAATAGGGTTTGGGGGGTTCCTTATTATATTCTAGTATAATATACCCCAAACCCTATTCTAATTAATAAGGCCCCTATGTTGTTAATATTATGTACTCAGAAGCTCGGCGTGGTCTAGGTGGTCGTTCCATCACTTAGTCACTTCCTTATGAGCTACATGATTGAGATATCTCAGATCAGTGACTACACTGCTACTTTCTGACCCCTAGGGCTGCGAGGCACCTCTTTGCCGTCGGCGTCCTTGAACTGCATCTTCTCACTTATCCTGCCAGATGGGGACGCTGTGAAAGGCCGCAGTCGGCTCATTTGGGAACATGACGCCCTCTTCGGGGACAGACGGACCTGTGGGTGGCTAATGGTGGCTTTCTGGCGTAACCCTGGGACAAAAAGCAAGAAGCCAAAATGGTTCAATCTGCGCTGCGTACACCTCCCAAATCTCCCAAACATGCTTCCTGCGCTGCGTCAGAGTTCAGAGGTTGGGCACGAATCTGTTTTAACAGGGTTTACACTGGACGCCTTTAAGAGCCAACCAGCGAGAAGGAGGAGGTGCTTTCTCCCTGTGGGCTCGAGATGGACTGGCGGCTCCTGATTGAATGCTATGCGGCGGCTAGGCTGGGCAAAACGTGCCTGCCCGCAGCTTCATTCCACATCGGCGAAAACTTCCGGCCTTTTGCCGGGCTGGGTGTGGGAAGGTGATCCGTTGAGTGATTGCTGTGTTAAAAGATGGTCTTGTCGGGATACAGGCCGTCCAGCCAAAGGCACCTCCGACACTGACCCACAGTAGCCTATTTCGGTAGCGTCAGCTGCAGGGAGGTGCCAGGGAGAATGGTTTCCGCAGATCTGCATCCAGCCCTCGCAGTTTCTTCTCAATGGCCTTGCACTTTGCCAGCCTTACAGAGCGGATGCAAGAGGGCATGGACTCGAGGGCCGAACAGTGCACACACCACTCTGCGAAGAAGTTCACCTGCGCTGGGTGATTCTGTCAGTTCGCAGTGCCATCGTGCAATGCTGCCTTGCTCACCTGCCTTGGACTAACACCGACCATCTTACGGAAGCATGTCGTGTCTTGATCCTTTCGAACCGCCTCCAGTCGCAAGATGCATGCTCTGATTTACCCTACCATGGCCAGTAAAAACATAGTCTCTGATCCTAAGCTAGCCTCGTCTTAGTAATGAGACGGCGCAATAGCCGTAGCACTAGTGAGTCTCGTCGATTGCAGTAGGACCAGCACTGGCAATACTATATAGTCCCTGAGTCAGCATCCGCATCCCCCCCAAACAAATGGGTTTGGGGGTCTGGGATCTTAGCTTCCGAAGCGCTGCCCCTGGGTCTCACATCCTACACCAGAAGGCGGTGGCCGAGCGACCCTGGTTGGTTTATCACTCTCACTGTCCATGGGGGAAGGTCTGTTCAGGCAGGAGCCTCTGAGCAACAGCCACACATCACGACATCATCAATCAGCACCAGCCTGATCATAGAGTACCCGGTAGCAGAAGCAACGGTTTTTTTGCGGTTCATGTGGTGGCCAGCACAGTTGGCTGCTGATCGAAGCGTAGGTCCTTCCATGCCTCGGAGCGCGAATTCTCTGCATCCAAAGTTGATAGCTTCTTGCTGAGCAGAAGTTGGTGGCTATGGTCGAGAAGAAGGCTGCGAAGAAGAAGTCAAAAACCAAAACAAGTCTTATGATGACGATATAATGTTGTTGAAGCCTGATGACAATGAACATGGTGATGAGATGATGGAGATGGTGCCGGCCACGATGACCATATGACAATGGTGGTAATGGAGATCGCGATGAAGATGTGATGCCGATGAAGACCATGGGGACGAAGATCATAATGATGGTGATATGGGGTGCTGATGCTCGTCCATCTCTACTTTGGCCAATGCTTACGATCATGCCTATGCCTGTCCTCGACTGTTCGCCTTTCAGCGTCACTGTTCTGACTTCACTGCGGCGATGCGCCGCCTTCTTACGACCAGTCTTCAGGGCCCGGCGAGTAGCTCCAGCCCCACTCCCTGCAAGGTGGGACACTCCACAGGACCAGTCGCAGTTGATGTAAAGCTTTGGGGTAAACTTTGCTCTTGGACGTCAAGGCCTGCCGGCTTGGGGTTCAAACGTCCCGCTCATGAGCCCGCTGAACCTCAAACAAGACGCCGGGGTAGGGCATGCCCTAAAATGCAAAACTGCAAACGACACGCCCTGAGCCCAATGCCTGCACCTTGGACCAATAAGTTTTGCGGTCATCTCCCCAGTCCCAGACCGCTAAGCCAGGCCACAGAACTATAGTGGTATATGAAAGCATATAATCATATCTAGGGGTAGATTGTTAGCACATACTACAAGAGTATGTCATCTAATGCTGTACAAACAGTCTATACAACCGCAAACAACAGTAGAAGCAGCATCATCAAGATAACCGGTCGCAAGAAGAATCCTGTAGAGCTGCTTCTGCTCCTGCTACTACTGCGACGACGACGACTATTACCACCATGAGCTGCTTCGGAGGTTTCAAGACCCCTCTGGTGAGCCCGAATCCCCAATTGAATACCGTGCCGTGCCCGGGACCCTTTTCCGGCCTGGGATTTACAGTTAAAGTTTAAGTTGAGGATGTTGGCCTCCAGCTTTAGCGTTTAGACACAGGGTTGACAAAAAGCCCCTGTGAAGTGGGTTTGGGTTGCACTTTGCCGCTGGAGCCTGTTGTGGCCCCTTGAACCGTAGCTGGCGTCTTCCAACAACTCATGACTTCAGACTTAGTTCTGATACTGAGTTTGCACAACGAGTACGGCTTCGGAGTTAGAGCTTCAGGTAGCAATGGAAGACTGATGACCGCGAGAATCTGCTGTGTCAGTTTCTTGCCTTAATCCTCACGATTCTCCGCTACAAGTTGTTACAAGTAGCTTCCTTTCTACCCCGCGCCCTACACCATGCTGAACTCAAATCCCAAACCCCCAGACCCTAAACGGTAGACCTCCCAAACTCGTGATACCTTCAAAACATCTCTCCACGGCCTCCGGCCCCACCCAAGCGCACAGAGCGGCTCCCCTTTCGGACACACCCAACCTCAAGGGGCACAAAGACATAAAGGCATAGCGTTCATGAGGGCCATGCTCAGGTAAAGGGTGTATGGGTGCATGGAGTTTAGGGTTCAAGGTTCAGATCAAAGTTTGGGCTAGGCGTACCCAAAATAGCTCTTCTCAGCTTCGGACGCGGTGTATCCGGCAGCTCCGATTTTGGTGCTGCGGCGCTCGAGCATGACCTACAGGACTCGGACTTGTGGCAGCCCGATATCCTGGAATCGAAGACTCGGGAAAGGGAGCCCAATGCATCTTGAATAAAGAGCAATGTACTTGAGGTAGAGGGATCTTGCAGATGATGCAGTTTGTACATGTTGCTTCATCATTGAGTCTTGGGCTCTCTTGGCAAGCAAATGCCTCATGTTCAAAACAAATTCCCAAATGAAGGTCGTCGATCACCGCAGGTGGAACACGAACAAAGACAATAAGACTACCATAACCAGTGACACTAAACACATCAGGCAGCAAGAAGAGGACCGATAATATGTACACTACTACGAGACATACACACAGCATTCACTGGCCAGAGAAGGTCGTGCTTACAAGCGGCATGCAGCATGCAAAACCGGTACACTCATAGCGCCAATAACAAGAACAAGATTGACAACAGCAAAGGCATTAGCAGAATCGCGGTGTCATGCTCTAGATCAAAGTGCCCATGGCCGAATGCACCTTGGGCGATGGAAGAGATACCGCTCGGACATGGCCATCCTCGCCGAGCTTTGGGCGAAAGATTTTGGACTCCCTACACTTTTGCTTACAGGTTCGTCTACGGCTGCAAACTTCGAAGTTGCCTTCATGCTTAAAGCAAAGCGCTGTGGCTGTCGAGGCGTGGCATTGATCACTCTTAGCGCTGGCTTTGTGCTGCGCCTCGGATGAAATGGTCGCAACCCCGACTCCCAAAACGAGTGAAACTTCCAAAGCTGGAAGCCAACGCTGCTTTTCAACCTCCTGGCACACACACACACACATACAGACACACACACACACCTTCTCACAGAGAGAGAGAGAGTGTGTGTGTGTGTGTGTCCCTCAAACCCCTAAAATCGTAAACCCCCCCCAGAACCCCCAAAACCCCTAAAACCCTAAACATGTCCAGGCCGAAGTCCAAAAGGAGCTGGGCCTTGCTGGCGGTGAGGCAGCGATCGCTCCCAACATGACGCAGCGCCTCCAGGACAAAGGGCGTTAGGGGCCTAGAGTTTAGGGTTTAGGGGGCCCTGAAATGTTGTGGCTTCTGCGGAGGTCGCCCCTGATACTTGCCAATGGTCTGCTACGACCCCCCCGGTTTTGGTTTTATGGTACTGGTCTTCGGTGCTTAGAGCCTGTAAGATCTTGAGAAGTTGCTGTCGGGATACATATTGGCGCAGATGTCATTGTCATAAGAGCGTAAAATTCCACCCTAAGTTATAATAACTGGTAATCTCACCTACCAGGCAGCACCTGTTGACAATGGGATGGTCAGAGCTGAGGGATGGAACTGAATCCTTTGGGCATTGCAGTTGTGACAAGCGCCAGCAGACAAGCCTGAGCGAATGCGCGAGAGGTATGGAAAACGGCTGTCATGGAGTTTATCCTCGCCTGGCCATAAGGCACCGTGCCACTGGTAACAACCTTGCCCCTGGCCAGGTGATCATGGAGCCTCGATGGTCTGATCCGCGCATGGGAGCGAGTGTAGCTCTTGAAGTGAAGCTGGCGCGTGCACTCAGGGAAGCTTCAGGAAAACAGGGCATGGTCTAAACCTATCTGGGACAGATGAGAAAGCAGATATCAGATTTACACCCAACTACAAGCCCGGAAGAGCTGGATAAGCCTTTAAGCATAACAAGACGTCAAAGTACATGACAGGGCTTTGGGCTGGCTCCCTTCAAGTCAAGCAGCACTGGCAAACCAGCACGACGGCATCGTGTCAGAATCAGGGGCTTGCTTTGACGTAGAGTGGCATGAACCGGCATCGGCACACCCCCTGAAGAGACCTGAGCACATCTCACACTTCAATACCGAATTCCATTGGGAGTTACCGGGAACAGGAAAGTAAAGTCTCCAGACCTCCCGAAATCTGCAGGCTTTGAAGCTGATGGGGCCACTCCCGACCGTCGCCTTTTGCCAAGCAGATGACGATAAAAACAACCACCAGAACAAAGAAGAAAAAGAAGAAGCACTAGATAAGGAGGAGGACTTAACATCTGCCCTCACCCTCGACAAGAACTCATCTGCAAATCCGAAACGCAGTTCAGAAGCCCTGTGTCAGCCTCTTAGGTCGAAGACTTTGACCTCGCAGTTCTCCCTGGAGAAGCCCTGTTAAAGCTGCAGGCAAAGGGGCTGAGGGTCCAGGGCTTTCAGCTTTTGGGTCCGGGGGTTGTTCGCGTTTACCATGGTTTATCACAAAAGCGTTCCAGAAGCTCGGGGCATGGTCGCGAATCCCCGGAAGCTTCATCCGGAAAGGGAGAACTCAAGCAGGGTCGGAGGCAAAAAGGCCGATTCCGATGAGCTGTGAACCGACAAGCCCAAACACCACAGTCCAAGAAAAGGAAGAGGAGGCCAGATCCCTTACTGAAGTCAACCTAGAAGCCCCATCCACAACCCTAAACCCTAAACCCTGAACCCAGAACCCAGAAGCTCGCCTTGGAGCCACAGGCCACGTAGTTACCGTCCTGGTCATCAACACTAGTTCATGGTTGGGGTAGTATTAAAAATCTAAATTTATCTTCCTTATTGGGTTTAAGTACCCTTAAAAATGTAAAATGTTACCCAACTATGACAAAGACAGTGTGAGGCTGGCTGCTGCTACTGCGCCTCGGGAGTGCGTTCATGTTTTGCCGCCATCGCAGATGCCCAGTTTGTTGCTGTGCCGTCCCGACCGGAGGCTGACTCACTAGCCGGCCTGCTGGGCAACGCACAGAAACAACAAAGAAGGATCAGAACGGAATGAGAGTACATGATAAACACTCACACACACACACACACGTCTTTGTCCGGACTCGTTTTTGCGAACTGCTCCATCGAAAAGACCCCGGGAAAGAACCCTGTGAAGCGGAGCCCACCACAGCTAGAGAAGAGTCGCTTGGGACTACTTTCAGAAGGACTGAACTTTCTGTGTTGGGAGAAGCGTTTTCGCCTCGGGTGTCTTTCGCATGTCAGCCTAAGCAGACATCCGTTGAACCCCCCCCCCTTCCGCGCGAGGAGCTGTCCGGCGAGACATCCAGGCAAATGAGCTGGTTTGGGCCAGCCCGGACCTGACAAGACAGCTGACGAGGCACATGGTTTCGTGTTTCAGGATTAAAACCCTAAACCCTAAACCCTAAACCTAGGAGCTTTGCCATCTCAGATCTTCAGTTCGCGGGCGTGGTGCTTGGCGGTTGAAATGGAAGCTTCAGCTTCCAAGAGCTCAGAAGCAGTGCTTTGTGCATTGAGTCGGACGGTGTGTGACAGATGTACCCGAAACATGTTGATTTGGAACTACCGTCAGAGGTTGTCCAAAGCAGCAGCAAAGGACTAAGAAGGGAGGAAACTGCAAAACCTAGGTAACACCATAACCATCGCAAGAACCATAATAAATATGGTTCTTAAATGCTAGAGTTTCTACTCACAAGATCAAATTTGTTACAGTTGTGATAAGAAGAAACCTAAGCCAGCAAACTTCATCGCAGTCATGGCCCGGCTCGGCTGAGGTCCGTGCTGCCGCGGCCGGGCCTTTTAGGATTCCCTGCCGGGTGTCCCAGAGCCGAAGCTGCAAATCCTCCGAGGCGGACCCGTTTCAGGGTTTAGGGTTTAGGGGGGATTGAACTTAGGGATTCTGAAATGAAATAGAGCTTAGGGGCTGTAGGCTTTGGTTTGGGTCTTATAGGCATCAGGTATTTTATCCAGTGGGGTCTGGGAGGAGTGCCGAAGGGTACGGCAAGATGCCGCTGAGCCTGCCTGGGAAGGCGGAGGTCCACAGGGAGCTTCAGAGAAGGAGTGAGCATCATAAAAGAGCATCCCTGATTTCAAGAGCCCCTCATACATGTGACATAAGATCTACCACAGCCAACCTCTAGTAGACCATACCGTGGCAGGGTTTAGGATTTCAAGACGATTGAAGAAAGCCGCTGAGCCTTTGAGTCTGACCCTCAAGCAAGTGGCCCCTCTTCCCCTGCCTACGAGGACGGGTGCTTGGAGGATCATGGGAACTTGAAAAGGGTATGCTTCTCATTCTGTGACCTCATTTCTGGGTCACGTGGTCCTTGGAAGGTTGCGACCGAAGAACAGTTAGTATAATCAGGTCTTCATGAAGCAGGACCTTCTTAAAAAACAAACCTACTTGTTGGCCAGCAAGCCTCAGGCACTAGAACCGAAACAAAAACACTGCACAGCCTCCCAACCCCCTAAAATCACAAAACCTCCGTGAACCCTGCAAACCCCGAAGGCAACAGAAACAGGGATGTTCGAGGAACCCATGAACAACGCAGTGTCTCAAACACCCAAGCAGGAATCCAGCTTGTAGAGTTGCTCAGGACATGAACTGCAACCTGTAACCTCCAAAAATGCCCCCAAGCCCTCCTCTCCAGCCGAAAAGGACTGTCACAAGATCCCCAACCTTCAACCCTGTATCCAAACCCTGCATATGAAGCCCCAAGCCCATAAACTGCCCTAGAGGACATATTAGCATAGTAACAAGCATCATAATAATCCTCGCTGCCATCATAAGAGCAATAATCATGATCACAACCGTTCTTGTCGCCGTGATAAGGACGATGACGACAGCAGCAACAACAACACGAAGAGGAAGGATAAGAAGAAAAGTCAGAACACACACACACACACACCGAAACTTTGGAGCAACAAAACAAGTAAGGCGGCCTCAGAGCAAAACAACGAAGGCGCCCGCCTCAGAGGCCTGGACGGCGGCCCCCGCCGCAGCGCCGGGCTGGGGAACCCGACGGATGGCTGTGACCTCCCCGCGGCGGGAGATGGAAGCTTTGTGGCCGGTTTTAGGGTTTGGGGCTTCTGGGGGTTTGTAAGGTTTGGGCTTGGGGCGCTTGGGGCCTAGGGTCGGTTGAGGGTTGGGGTACATTGGAAGGACTGAGCTTGAGGTGATGTCGAAAATAGCTTGGCTTGCGCATTGGAGCTTAGGAGACTGAGGTGTGGGGATTACCTGTTTTGTGGACTGGCAATCGTGGTGGGAAACCTTCGGGCTGAGGGTCTGAGATGCCACAGGCACAAACCCCATGCGCCCTACAACTCCAAACCTCAGAATCATGCGCTTCCCTGAGCCAGACAAGAGGCCACGCTGCGATGCTTGCGAAACGAAGTACCCTGCAGAAGAACCGAGCTTCCAGCCACATTTCGGAGGATCTTGTTCTTCTGCACAGATCTGTCATCAACAGATCTTTCGGTGGCTTGCTAAGGAAGGCAACACCAGACCAGAGTGTCCGGGGTGGTTCGAGGAGATATCCTGAAAGCTGTGGGGATTCAATAAGTGTGCAAATGAGGCAGCTGTAATATTGTGAAGTCTCGCTTCTACACTCCACCGGGAAGTATAAGGAAGGATGTTAGGTAGGAAATCGGCAAGGTGCTGGAAGCCGGTCTTGCAACTGTCATCCAGACGCTGATGTACAGTGCAGAGGCCAAAGACGACAAGTGCAGCAGCGCGGCGTATTTCACTGGGTCTCAGCTCAAACAGGGGAGGAACAGCGGAAACAGATTGAAATCAAGAAACAGATCGGATTGGTGCTCGCGGGGTCGGCTGTGTCGTGTATGCTTCGACGTAGAAGTTCACTGACACCTCCGAGAAAGAGGGCTGCCAACTCTGATGCCGAAGAACAATCCGGTTCTGCAAGCAGGGGATCGGGGATCGAGTCAAAGGCCATGCGAGAGCGGTCTCCTCCAGAGCTTTCAGGTGATACATGGTAGCGTTCGACCAGGCATTAGAGCCATCTTACTGCAAGCGGCAAAATCATTAAAATTAAATTAAAACAGGGTTCTGGACCACTCCGCGGCAAGTCCGGGATCCCCACTTGCGATTATGGCGTTGAAATCCAGGGCACCCGGGAAATCCTGTGAAACGGCCAGGGTTGATTGCATGGTGCGGCATCATACAATGATCCCCGGATAGAACGCGAACAATTTTAGACGCAAGGGCTTGCAGAGCCCACGGCGGCGCCGAGGCATGGTAGATGCCATTTTAGACCCAATAGGATATTCCATATGACACATCTCAAGAAGCTAGCTCCTACGCACGAAAAATTAAGCAACACAACTGAGAATTCCAAACTCCACATGCAGACACAGCATATACGCAGTTATAACACAGGCATGCACCGTCACTGCTCTGCTCTGGCAGGCAGGCACAATCATGAATGATGTCTATGCAGTATGAATGCAGCTTACATGCATGTACATCATATGTACATTCACCGTATATGAGTAGTTCTTGAAATACGGGTCCCCTGGAAACCCGAATAAATATGTGGGCCCCAATGCAGCGACGGAAGCCTGCTAACTTCAATGAGCCCCTGAGTAGACGAGCCTTCTGAGAACCAAAGAATCCTTGCGAAACCGCAATAATTAAAAAAACCTGTATATAAAACCCCATATCACAACAGGGCTGGACATCGAAAGTTATCGTCACAAGATCTGGACTTTGCAGGGAAAGGGTGTGCGGAAGTGCAACTGCCTGGCAACCTGGCCGTTTCAGCTCCCAGTGGTGCAAAATCGGGCCAATCGGACAGATCGCCTTCGGCGATGTCCGGAGGATCGTTCGGCAACATGTGAGACGTCGCCTCTTGGCGATGAGTCGATCAACGATCTGGACTTGCTCTCGTTATGAACGACACCATAGAAATCTCATAACAAGTGGCCGAGCATCGTCGGACGACGACAGTTGTGCGCTTTTTGCGCGAAATTGCCCACCGGCCGAAAGGGGACCAGGACCATCCCAGTGAAAATTGACACGGCCGAGAGCAACACAGACATAGTAGCTCCATGGCAAGAGATCACCCAACTCGTGGGAACCCACAGTCTTGACAAGTGGATGTAACAAACTTCTTGAGTTGTTATCTAACACCGAAAACATCCGAAAACTGCGATATGCCTGCCCTTCCAGACCCTTGTTACCACGAATAGCCATCACCATAGTCACAGTAACGAGAGAACCAGGCGCGACATGGGACCTCAATAGGTTCGCAGCCTCACAGGCCGGCACGAAGAAGCCCCTGGGATGCAGGACACGAAGGATGCATTTCTGCAGTTGTCTCAACATACATACATCGACAACGTGCAGATCGGATGGTACTGGCGAAGTTTCCTAGCATTACCCAATACAGAAAAAGGTCTACAAAGGTAATTTCGTCGCCGCTTGGAGACTTGAGGCGGGCCTGTGCGACCAGTTCTTGGGTTCAGGATTCTACGTGCCCTTGTGCCCTTGACCTGCAGTCCGCTTCACAGCGCACACTGTGGATACGACTCACAAGACGAGCAACCAAGCAAGGCGATCAGGTAGCTGCCGTCGTCAGCGACAAGAAGTGCACGAGCAACAGTAACATCGGTAGCCCTTACAAAAGGAAAGCAAGACGAGAGCGACACAAGAGAAGCAGTACTCAGGGGCACGATCATTCTAATGATGATGATGGTCATCATGATGATGGCAATGGAGGCAATAATGGTGTGTTCATCCATTTCGTGTTAGAAATCATCATCATTGAAGAGTAGGAGGAGTATACCCCCCCCCAAGAACCGCAAGTACGATCTCCCGGGCCAACTGCTTGTAGAGCTACTATTGGACTTGTCTTGTTGCATGGTGATCTTTGTAGAAGGGACATCAATCGAGAATGGTTACCCTAAACTCTAAACCCTAAGAGTAAAGCCAAGGCGAGATCAAACAAGGAATGGTTAGAAGCCATGAGAAGAGTCTCCCAGTCCTATGTCGAGCTGGACCAAAGTTACAACATACCTGAGGCCCGCAAAAGCTGAGATTCCACGGTATCCAAAAAGCATAGAATATTGTAGTATACGTCTGATGTCACACGACCAGACAAACGCCAAGTCGAAAAAGGAGCAAGCAATGCGATGCATTGGAAGAGCAGCATCATGCACTAACTGTGAAGACGAATCCAGCTTCAGAACCGCTTTACTCATTCCCGGGGAGATCGGTGATCTTCGAGCGGCTTGTGCAATCAACACGACACTCGGAGCTTTCGTTGAGGTTGCAGGGACGTGGGATTTGGGAAATCCGGATGCATTCTCGTGGTTCTGTTGCGGAAGAATGGCGGGTTTGGTTGCAGTCAGCCAGCATGCAGCTTACCGTCAAAGTCCTTGGAGTCTTCCGTGACTAGAACTGAATCTTAGATCCCAATTTTCCAGAAGCCCGTTTGCAGCGGAAGGTCTTTGCAGCTGTCCGGTCATTTTGGCATGGCCTGGCTTGTGCAAGCGTTTGAACATGTCTCTAATGGGACGATTTACCGGATAAGGGTCGCTGATTGAACAGCCCCACCAAATTCAATGACTGCTGCTGTGACATTGATAACCGCAGCTATTTCCGCAAGCAAGATCACGACACGGTGACAGCCTGTGACAACTTGTTCGAAAACTGTTCTTGTTGCTTCGGCTACGACGACCACAGCTGCACGGTCATGCTTGCCTGGAGGACAAGTATTTTCTTTAAGCCCGAAAGCTCGAGCACAGAAGTTCGCTTTCCTAGAAAGCCCACGCGTTTATTTATATCTATCTATCTATCTATCTATCTATCTATCTATCTATATATGTATATCCATATACACACAAACACACACACACACACACATCCTACCCCACACTCGTAATGTGTCTGCTGTTGCTACAGTTCTCCAGCCGTACTGTCAAAGCAGCTCTGCTATAGATCTACATGTCCCAAGGCTATTGCGGAACTAATGAAAAATAAAGCTGCCTGTTCTTACTACTGCAGGGAAGAAATGCTATTCAGGTGGTTTAGAAGAGCTAGCAGTAAACAGTATTGTGACTAGTATGACTGTGGGTTACCCGGTACGGATGCAGACTGTTATGTGCACTTGGGGATGCACCTCGCACTACGTGAGGGCATTATGCATGCTTGGCGTCTTGAGTGGTCGTAGTTCCGCACTGACATAGGGTGGGTTGCTCAAGGTGCAGCAACACTGACAAAGTCATCATACTTGTTGGCGTCTGCAAACGCAACAGAGTTGGAGCCTGCAACGGAGTTGGAGCCGTTCTGTCGCAAGTCCCTCCAACAACGACGCTCCAAACTTCCACTGCCAAGCGAGAACTCGTCATCCTGACACCACCCATTGAGCGAACCTCAACAAGTGACTTGGGCTTCACCATGACAGGAGCCCGACTCTAAAACCCCGGACACACAGTGCTTGCGAGGTGCCAGCCAACGGGTGAGCTCATCACAGCTCACACAGCCATCCTCGGCCAGTGGAACCAGTTCTTTTCAACTATGGCCCAATACTATGCTCAGGCTGTTTCGAGGATTATGAAGGATAGCGTGCCTGTGTTAATCTCTGCTGCTACTAATTCTGCTTCGGCAGATTCTGCCGGCGAGCTTTGAACTGAAGAGCATTGCTTTGAAGCTCGAGTTGCTTCCTGTGGCCATCCTGAGCCCGGAGCTCTGCATCATCCTATTGCAAGGGTGTTGCTGAAAATCGGGATAGCTTGTGGAGAGACATTTCCAGCAAGGATCCTACTGCGTTACTGTTCGGAATCCAGAACCCATGAACCCACATAGAACCTGGGGAGTTTGCGAAGCGCAAGCCCTCAGCAATTCAAAACCTCTTCTTTCAGCCGAAATTCTGCTTCCGAGTTGGGAAGGTGCGGAAGCAACGACGCTGCCAAGTCAGAGGCCTGGAAATTCACTGCTGCAGGACGACATTCTGCGTTACCCATGCTGTGGAATATACCATAATTGCCATAATTTACGATTCCTACGAGCCTGTCCAA